AATTAAAAAAAAATGAAACAAATAGAAATTAAAAAAAAAAAAAAGATAAAGGAAACTTACAGGAACTTGCTTAATTAATTAACTTTGTGCTTGAAGAGAGGAATTTGCAGCAATAGGGTAGAAAAACGGGAGAGTAAGAAAAAGTGCGTGTCTCTAAGCTGCAGACACACACACACACACACACACTTATTGGGCCACAAAAATTGGACTAACATGGGCTAGAAAAGGAAACAAAACCAATTAGGCTAAGACTGTTTTAAAAAATGTTACTACGGGCCTCACAGAACCTTTGCATAAAAAGACATGTGGAGACCCAGCACGGTTGAGCTTGCATTTGTGTAGTTGCATAACCCAGCACGGTTGAGCTTGCATTTGTGTAGTCCCCAGATGCCATGATATTTATATCTTGACTCACCAGAGCTAAAAGATCCAATTGCAAAAGTTCTTTCTTTAGAAACCAGAACATTGCTAGCTGTAAGGGATTGGTTAACGGTTATGATATATATGGAATAACACAATGGCAAGAAGACTATAAGCAAAAAGATCAGGAGTGATTTCTTGGTATCCATGATTGATTTAGTTCCACTCTCTTCAGTTCAAATTTATGTGGTCTTTTTTCCATACATTTACTCTCGATTTCTTGACACGAAGAAATAGCATTCTTTAAATGATTTCTCTACGTAGATGAAATTTCATCTGCTAACCAGTAGTGACCATTTCTGCGGTCAATTTCGATTATGTTGGGCAAAAACAAGTGCTTGTTCTTCCACTCTTCTTGATTAGTTGATGTAGAAAAGAAACTGTAATATATTAGACTAAGCAGCTCCACATTTTGGCTTGCTAGATAGAACTTGAACAAGAAATGGAAAATATGGTCAATCGCAGAAATGATATCGTGGCCGCCTTCACAAAATATTACATTTATTTCTTTTGAAATATATCAACACTAGCAGTCAGCACATGCAGTTCCCTGATTACAGGTGTGGATTATCATTTATCTGATAGGTGAACTTTTCTACATTGCCACTTGAGAATATCTTGGCATTGGTTTGATCCATTAACAGATGTTTACTGATTGTTCTGTGCAGATTATAATTTGTCAAATCTGCAGTCTGCCACAGTAACTGTCAACTTCCTTGGTCCTGTAAATACTGTTCAACAACTTCATTTTGCACATTTCTGTTGAAAACTCTCATCAGATTGACTAGATTTTTTCCTTTAACTAAACCTGGCGCAATTGGTTTCTGTCGAATGCAATGAATATTAAGTTTTACGGTAAGTTAAACACTTGCATGGGCGAAAGCTAATTAGATTGACTAGATTTTTCCCTTTAACTAAACCTGGCGCAATTGCTTTCTGTCGAATGCAATGAATATTAAGTTCTACAGTAAGTTAAACACTTGCATGGGCGAAAGCCTGTTGTTAATCGATCAATTAGAAGTTAATCACGGCATGGCATAACTGTTAAGGTTAGTATGCTGTAACTAGTAAAGTTAATGTGACAACTATTTAACCTTGATTTTAGTTAGTTAAGTTGTGTTAGAAAGAAAGTAATAGTTAGATTAAAAGGTGATTAAGATGAACAAGTGTAAGGTTAAGATGTGTTGGTTTTTTTTAATATATGTATGGTTGAAAGTTCTGGAGATGTATGAGAGTAAAAAAGAAGAAAAAGAAAGAAAAAGTTTATTTACTGTATACCTCCTCTTGTTCATGATATTCTGCAGAAAATTGCAGACTTGTTTTCTTCCTTAAAACCTGCTTTTTGATGTTGGTTTGACCCCACACAAGCAAATAATTTAGCCAACAATAACTTCGGAGCTTACTAGTGCTTTTTACGGATTTTGTCAGTTTCGAACACAAAGTAGAACCGTAATAAGAAGATAAAAGGAATCAGGGGGGAAATAGAGAGAGATTCAAATGCTTTAAGATTGAAGGATAGAATAGAAGCAGTCATATCCTCCTATCTTCCATGCAACGTTGTAATTGTTACATCATTCATTGTATAAGAATTTCTGAATGTCCCAGTCAATGATGAATCTGTCTCGGTTGAATGCCTTCGTCAAAACTGTAGAGGTGTACGGCAACTTCATCCTGGAAACTTCTTAAACCCTTCATCAGAAGTACAATTCAGTGGCGTTTTCCTGACACAACCACTGGACCAATCCAAGTTATCCCAGTCTTGAGGAACTTCTGGTGTGAACCCTTCTTTGCATTTGCAGTGAAGGGAGTTATTTATATTGCAAACCCCATTAGGACCACGTGGTGCATATATATCACATTGATCAGTTAGTAATGTGAATATAACAACCCATTCACCACGCCTTGGATTCCATGTTAAATGCCTAATCAAGCTAGATTGATTCAGCACAAACCGTGAAATGGTAGTATTTTCATTGTGTTCAAAAGCATAGTAAACGAAGCCAGAATTTTGGACAAAAATAGGATTAAAGACTGGATTCTCTTGCAACGGAGGCCATCCACCAAACCTGACACCATCCCATGGAGCACTTCGATATATTATTTCCGATCCTTTACACAGAACTAGCTGTGAAAGTCCATGAACGTCTACACTGTAAGTGAAATCTCTACTTGAAGGATCTTGAAGACTCTTCCATGAAGTCATGCACCAGTTCTGATTAGTTAGGAGGTTCCATCTCAGCTACATGCCTGGTAATATTGTATCACATGGATGGTCAAAGCTCTGCCACAGAAACCCACTGCTTCTGCCATCTTTCACAACAAGGTTTCCTCTGTTCTTGAATAAAAGTAAGTTTCCTGTGGCTGTGATTGTGAAGACATCGTAAGAATCTGAAAGTGGACTGTCTTTATTGGCCACCCAAACAACAGTTCGTGGAGAAACATTTGTAAATTATTAAAGAAGAGACCTGTTGTTAATCGATCAATTAGAAGTTAATCACGGCATGGCATAACTGTTAAGGTTAGTATGCTGTAACTAGTAAAGTTAATGTGACAACTATTTAACCTTGATTTTAGTTAGTTAAGTTGTGTTAGAAAGAAAGTAATAGTTAGATTAAAAGGTGATTAAGATGAACAAGTGTAAGGCTAAGGTGTGTTGGTTTTATGTGCATGTATATATGGCTCAAAGTTCTGGAGATGTTTGAGAAGAAAAAAAGAAGAAGAAAAGTGAGATAAGTTTCTACAATGTATATCTCCTCTTGTTCATGGTACTCTGCAGAAAATTGCAGACTTGTTTTCTTCCTTAAAACCTGCTTTTTGATGTTGGTTTGACCCCACACAAGCAAATAATTTAGCCAACAATAACTTCGGAGCTTACTAGTGCTTTTTACGGATTTTGTCAGTTTCGAACACAAAGTAGAACCGTAATAAGAAGATAAAAGGAATCAGGGGGGAAATAGAGAGAGATTCAAATGCTTTAAGATTGAAGGATAGAATGGAAGCAGTCATATCCTCCTATCTTCCATGCGACGTTGTAATTGTTACATCATTCATTGTATAAGAATTTCTGAATGTCCCAGTCAATGATGAATCTGTCTCGGTTGAATGCCTTCGTCAAAACTGTAGAGGTGTACGGCAACTTCATCCTGGAAACTTCTTAAACCCTTCATCAGAAGTACAATTCAGTGGCGTTTTCCTGACACAACCACTGGACCAATCCAAGTTATCCCAGTCTTGAGGAACTTCTGGTGTGAACCCTTCTTTGCATTTGCAGTGAAGGGAGTTATTTATATTGCAAACCCCATTAGGACCACGTGGTGCATATATATCACATTGATCAGTTGGTAATGTGAATATAACAACCCATTCACCACGCCTTGGATTCCATGTTAAATGCCTAATCAAGCTAGATTGATTCAGCACAAACCGTGAAATGGTAGTATTTTCATTGTGTTCAAAAGCATAGTAAACGAAGCCAGAATTTTGGACAAAAATAGGATTAAAGACTGGATTCTCTTGCAACGGAGGCCATCCACCAAACCTGACACCATCCCATGGAGCACTTCGATATATTATTTCCGATCCTTTACACAGAACTAGCTGTGAAAGTCCATGAACGTCTACACTGTAAGTGAAATCTCTACTTGAAGGATCTTGAAGACTCTTCCATGAAGTCATGCACCAGTTCTGATTAGTTAGGAGGTTCCATCTCAGCTACATGCCTGGTAATATTGTATCACATGGATGGTCAAAGCTCTGCCACAGAAACCCACTGCTTCTGCCATCGCAAATAATATTATTGACGCTGTATCACATATTTATACAAGGAGATTGCTATATTATAGGCTTTTTACAATAGGAAGGATAAAACTCCGCAGATCTCTTATTCTAAGTAGGAAACAAAATTACAATAGGAAAGCTAATATCTACGTATCTCCTATTCTAAGTAGGAGACTCTGATCTCCCAACAACATTCTTGAACCATATTCCAACAAAGCGGTGACTGGAAGTCCAAGGGCTCAAGAAGTTCAAAGCTTTCACTGATGGAAACAAGAGTTTGACTATTGTCACTAAGAGTCTGGTTTGGCGTTAAGGTGTCCATGGCAATCGAGGATGTGGAGAAGGATAAAAATGAGTAACAGAGAATAATGGGAAAGAAGACCACCATGGATTATCTCAGTTACAGTAGTACAACCATGATGATTACTTGAACTGGTAATCCAAAAACCTTGATGAAGATAACGAAAAACATTTCTTTAAAAATGAAGTAACTGTGAGAAAGGGACCTTAACATAACCTAGAAAGCATATCTTGCAGACCCCAAAGTCAGCAGGTTGTTCACAGGGAATGTGTCAGTTTCTAGATTTGTCCCTGCATATTAAATTAAGCTACACTGGTTGAAATCTTCAACTGCTAATTTTTTTTATCTTCTATTAACCTTTTCGCAGATTCTCTTCTACAAACCAAATCTCTGAAGGTGCAGCTCTTTAGAATCATTATTTATTCAATATTCGAGGAACTGTTATTTGGTGGCAGTGTAATGTTGTTTTATGATTAATGAAGTTTCATTAATGTTTTGATGCGAGCTTATATATGTTAAAATAATTAAGATGAAACACAAAAAAAAAAGCTAGAATTTTAAATAATCTGTATATTATGAATACTTAGTCTTAACCTATATACAAATAAAATATATATAGATTAAACTGAAAGTACTATTCTACCATTAATAAATAAGACTACATAAATATTATTTAACATCTCCCCTCAAACTCATGATGCAGCAGCTACAAGTATCAAGAGTTTGCCAACCAGATAATAAAAACGAGAGATGGAATGTGCCTTGATAAAGAAATCTGCAATCTGTAATGAAAAAGAAACAAAAGGCAAGGCAATGGTGTCATGCTTGAGATGATGACAGTAAGATGACAATCGATCTCAATGTGCTTATTTCACTCATGAAAAACCGAGTTGTGAATAATCTGAATAGAACTCTAGTTGTCAAAATACATAGGAGTAGGATGAAAAAAAAAACTCCTATATCAACACGTAATCAACGTAACCAAACAATCTCTTTGGTAGTAGATGCTATGACACGATATTCTGCTTCAGTGGATGATTAAGAAACAATAGATTGTTTCTTACTTTTCCAAGAAATAAGAGAATCACCTTAAAAGATACAGAATTCGGTAACAAACTTGCGATCTGTGGGATCACTACCATAATCAGCATCAGAATATGCACGCAACTCCAAGAAAAAGGTGGATGAAAGTAAAAAAGTCTTAAAAATTATACCCTGAAGATATCGCAAAATACGAAGAACAGCTGCCTAGTGAATAGTAGTAGGAGAAGCAACAAACTAACTAACAACATAAACAACACATGTAATATCTGGACGAGTAATGGTGAGATATATCAAACTCCCAACAACAGTGCGGTATAAAGTAGGATCTATCAAAGGTAAACTATCAGAAGAAGAGTACCTTGCATTAACCTCAATGGGAGTATTGACAGTCTTGTTATTAGTAAGTCTAGCCTACTCAAGAATATCTGCAACATATTTCAACTGAGAAATAAGGTAACCTTTAGATGAGTATGCTACCTCAATATCTAGGAAATATCGAAGATAACCCAAATCCTTCATTTCAAATCGTCTAGCCAACTCTGTCTTTAAAAACAAAATACCATCAATGTTATCACCAGTAATAATCATGTCATCAACATATAAAGACAGAATGATACAACCTGTATCAGTGCATTTAATAAAAATAGTAGAATCATGACTGCTAGAAACAAAGCCAAGCGAAGAGATCACAATAGAGAATTTCTCAAACCAAGCACGGGGTGCTTGTTTGAGACCATATAATACTTTCTTAAGCTTACAAACATATCTAGAGTCGTGTGAAATACTAGGAGGGGGTGCCATATAAACTTTTTTTTTAAGATCTCCATTCAAGAAGGCATTTTTAACATCAATCTGAGAAATATACCACCGACGAATCGAAGCTACGACAATAAGAGTACGAATAGTAGTCATTTTTTCCACTAGGGCAAATTTCTCCTCATAGTTCATACCATACTATTGAGAGTATCCTTTTGCAACCAGCCTAGTTTGTATCGCTCAATAAACCCATCATAATTAGTCTTGATCTTATACACCCAAAGACAACCAACAACACTCTTACTATGAGGTAGAAAAACCAGATCCCAAGTATCTGTCTTATACAAAGCAGAAAGTTTCTCATCTATAGTTTGTTGCCAAAGCTAATAAAAAATTACCTCTTTATAGGAAGATGACTCATAGAGATAATGAATAGAAGCTAAAAAAGAAGTAAATGATGAAGAATAACAAGAATAAGTAAAATTTGATAGTTTTGTGGACTTACAAATGTGGATGGACTGACGTGGAGGTGGATCCACAATCCCAGATGAAGTTTGAAGGGTTGTAGATGAGAATGGAGCTCCAGGTATGCTAGAAAGTAAAGTACCAGTACCTGTAAAGTTATGAGGACAAATTGATCGAACATGGGGAGAGGTATCATTACTAGAATCCTCATAAAAAGGGATCTATATGAATAATATCATATTTAATCAAGTTATGAGCAGTGGATGGAATAAAAAAGAAATGTATATGCTCAAGGAAAACAACATGACGAGACATATAAAGTTTCTGAGTTATTGGATCAAAACAATGATATCCCTTTTTACCTTCACCATAACCCAAAAAGACACAAATAGTGGATCGAGAGGATAACTTATTGCGTTCTACATGAGGATGAAGAATGAAACAATTACAACCAAAAACTCTAAATAAGAAATAATCAAGGACATACCCATATAACTTTTCAAAAGGAGATAAACCCGAACTATAAGAAGATGAAATTGTATTAATCAAACTTACCGCAGTAAGAACAGTTTCTCCCCAAAACTTAATAAGAACAAAAGCAAACAACAAGAAAGAATGAACAATTTCAATAATGTACCTATGTTTTCTTTCAGCAACACCATTTTGTTCAAGAGTATCTGTACATGAACTTTGGTGGATGGTTTCATCAAAGACAAGCAATTGATAAAATTTATTAGAAGTGTATTCCCCTTAAACAAAAAAAAGACAAATCAACAATAATAGTAGCAGCAATGGCGGCAGTAACTAGCACTTTTAACTCATCTAAAATATATAGTTCATTCTCCCTACGGCCTGTCCCAATCAACTTCTAAGACTGCAGATCTTGTACACAATAAAAAGAACTAGAAAACATGACTAAATAATCATCAGAATCACATATTTGACCAACAGACACAAGATTCAATTTGAGTTTTGGAATAAGATAAACATTACCGAGAGACAAGTGAGGTGTGACAACAGAACCAACACCTACTAAGGACATAGGAGTGCCATCAGAAGTTATAACAGGAATGAAAGATAAAGGGGACACAGAGGTAAAAGATGAGGAATCTAGAGACATATGATGGATTCAGAGTGTGACATACCTGAGAAACTATGAGGCAACTGACCTATGGAAGAAGAAACAGAAATTGCTTATGGCTGCAAGGACAAAAACTTCTAAAATTGCTCAGCCAAAGTATTGGGATCTATAATAGAGCCTGGGGAAGTTACTGCGCAGTATTGTGGTGTAGTGGTTTATAACCCTGAGGTGGTCTATAAGCATTAGATTATGACTGACTGCCAAACTTCTAAGCTTGATTCTACTGTCTCAACTTAGAACACTAGGCCTTCCAATAACCTTTTTGCTTATAGAAATTGCACTCATTGAAGCCAACCTTTGTGTAAGGCTTGTTCTAATGATTAGAGAATGGTTTAGAAGGTACTACTAGTATAGAGGATTTGAGCAGAAAGAATTTCCTTTTTAAAATAAGAGTGAAGACGTATTTCTTCAGCCAATAACTCACTGATAATAGAGTCAACAGAAGGTAGTGGAGAATGATGCAAAATTGAACCTCTAAATCCTTTGAAGTTATTATGAAGTGTTGTTAAAAACTGTACCAATCATTGCTGCTCTCTACACTTAATATAGGAACCACATACATTTAATTTTGCCGATTTTGTAAGAGTCAATTGATCCTAAAGATCTGTCATAGTAGAATAAAACTCTTGAATACTCATACTTTTCTGATGAAGAGCTCGTATGTCATTCTCAAATTGATATTGTTTTGTAAATTTTGATTGCGTGAATAACCTTTGCAGATGATCCCAAACCTCTTTTGTTGTCTCATACTTCGCCAACTTTGTATCTATCGAATGCTCAACAGAATTGTTGATCTAAGTAATGATCTTTGCATTATTTGCTTTTCATGTATCTATCAAAAAAACATACTCCTCCTCAATGTTCTTAGGTATCATATAAGTTTCACTAACATACCCCCACATCTTCTTACTCTTAAGAAAATTTCTCATTACATAACTTCAATACGAATAGTTTTTCCCATCCAACCTCACACTTATATACTGAAGTGAATCATCTCTTTTAGTAGTCATAATTAATAATCATAGAGAACCAGAATGCAAAAGCCAAGGAAAACAAAATACCAAATTACAGAAACTGAGCAGAGATTATAGAAACTAAATAAATATCTTCTTAGGATTATACGATTACTCTAAAACACAAAACAAATTTGCAGAAATTGAATGCAAATACCAAATTACAAAAGCTAAATGG